CTTTATTTATAGAGACTTTTCTAAATCCTTGTTACAAAGTTCTTTACACAAGCAGCAAAATATATAATATATGATAAATAATTAATAATAATAAAGGAAGCAACAATCAGAAATACAATTAAAATTAAAGTGTCTTAGTGCAAATAGACCGAAGGCAGCAAGAAGGCGATCAGTGAAAATAAAAGATAAGAAGTTGTTAATAAAGTAAAATTAAGTAAAACCAGGGAAAGCTCCATGATAAACGTTAGTGTGAAGAAGAAGTGACCTGTTGTTGTAACGGCTCAACACCAGACAACATGGCGTTTGAATCACCTCCAGTACGTCGTGTTGAAGTTCCTGTTTCTCTGAGCTCAGGAGGGACGTTATTGTTTGATGAAGCCGACATCGAGCTGCAGGCGGAAAACATCCTGATCACGGACGGCGGGCGGCTCCAGATCGGCCAGGAGGGGGCGCCGTTCCAGCACAAAGCCATCATCACGCTTCACGGAAACCTGCGCTCTCCTGAACTTCCTGTCTATGGAACCAAGACGCTGGCGGTCAGAGAGGGAGTGCTGGACCTCCACGGTACAAACACACAAACTCGTTTATTAGAAGAAGGTTTATTTCTCGCTGTGACTAAAACACCTGTAGTGTCATGTTCCATAACTGTAAAATAATGAAGTAAATGTAGATTAGTTCTGATGTACGAGGACTTGATGTATTTTACCTTCCATACTACTTTATATCCACCACATGTCACAGTTTATCTTCTGGTTCATTTTATATTTCAAACACGAGTCATTGTTCAGTGAGAAACTGATCCCTCAAGTGATATTAGTTCTTAAAGTTTGAATTTCATATTTAAAATCAGTGTTTTAGGAATTTTAACCTGTTTTCTCTTGAAAATGAACTTATTTCAAGAATTCATTCTTTCTTATTTTAAGATACAGACGCTCAGTTACACATTTGACACACAAGTTAAAATGTTAGAATAAGGTTTTTAGGACTCAGTGATGTAAAGAAATATCTTTACAAGTCTTTAGCAGCTCTGCCTCCACCACACTCACACCTCCATCACTGTAAATAATCCTGACTTCAGAACTGGATCTGAATCCTTCAGTCATCAGCTGCAGATCCACGAATAAAAGACGTTAAACATCAGAAAACTGAAATAGTTGTGGCCCAAATATTCCACCACCCCAGATTACATGTCATTATGTCAGGTAATGTGAGTTGTTTGTCCTGCAGGGAAGTTATTATTAGTGACACCTCACCTGGCCTCCTCAGGTGCTCAGGTCATTGTTGACAACCTGTTTCTCCAGGTATTCCTGTTCCTGTCCCCTGGACCCACCTGGCCCAGACTGCGACCAGCGGCGCCGCCACTCTGACTCTGATGAAGGCGGTGACCTGGAAGTCCGGAGACGAGATCGTCATCGCCTCAACCGGCAACAGGTGGAGCCGAGTCTTCTTCATGTGTTTTAATAATACAGTAAAAACTAAAGCCAAACTGCAGCAACTATATTTGACTTTTTGACTTTGATCTTACTCTTACTTCTTCCTATAGAAGTGTGTGTTGTTCCTATAGAAGTGTGTGTTCCTATAGAAGTGTGTGTTCCTATAGAAGTGTGTGTTGTTCCTATAGAAGTGTGTGTTCCTATAGAAGTGTGTGTTGTTCCTATAGAAGTGTGTGTTGTTCCTATAGAAGTGTGTGTTCCTATAGAAGTGTGTGTTCCTATAGAAGTGTGTGTTGTTCCTATAGAAGTGTGCGTTCCTATAGAAGTGTGTGTTGTTGGGAAAAAATAAATACATAACAACAGGTAAAAACCAAACTGTGTCACTTTTATCAGTTTTTGAAAAACAGGTTTTCAGGCTGTAACTCGCGTCGTTCCTTTTTCTCCAGACACAGTCAGAGAGAGAACGAGGTGAGGAGGATCGCCTCCGTGTCGGCGGACGGAAAGACTCTCACCCTGAACGAACCGCTGAAGTTCACTCACCTCGGGGTGACGGTCACGCTGCCGGACGGCACGGCGTTCGAGGGCCGAGCCGAGGTGGGTCTCCTCACCAGGAACATCGTGGTGCGAGGATCCCGACACCAAGAGTGGAGCGACAAGATCAAAGCGTGTCCCGACGGCTTCAACACAGGTGCTCAGATTTCTGGATTCTTTTGGCTTCATTTGACTCTGAACACTTTGTGAAAGTGACGGATGCAGAGACGTGATGCTGCCGTCGAGGACAACGTGGATTCATTCAACAAGTTCAGCTTCACCAACATATAGTTTAGATATTCTCCAGTTAGTCAGAGGAAGGTTATTACTCTTGGTGTAGAATTGATCCGTTAGTTGAACCTTAAAACACGAAACTCTCCTTCTCCTCACAAAACCCGGAGTGGTGTTGCTACGATGTCTTTAGGTTCATATTAAACATTATTATCATAATCAGTGAACCTGCCCAGAGCCGGAGGCGACTGACACAGAAAACCAGCAAATAATCACGACAGAGAAGTTCTGACATTTCAAATGATCGTGAAGTGGTTGTTGACAAATGGACTGATCCACTAATTGTTTCAGCTCTACTTCATGTTAACAAGCAGGGATTTATATTGAATAAGGCTTTAACAGAAATAATGTTTTCATTTAAGAATAAATATCAAATTGACGATGTTCAGTTTACCAGAGACAAGAAACTATAAAACGCAGCGCTGCACTGTTCTTCTTCTTTAGCGATAATAAAAACATCTGTATCGTCACACTGGAGTAAGTGGCGGTGTTCAGGTCTTTCTCTCTCTCTCTGTGCTGCAGGTGAGTTCGCCACACAGACCTGTTTCCAGGGAAGGTTTGGAGAGGAGGTCGGCAGCGATCAGTTCGGAGGCTGCATCATGTTCCACGCTCCCAGGCCCAATGAGAATCTTGCCATTGGCCGACTGGAATATGTGGAGGTGAAATGAAACGTCCTCACGTGTTCTGACAGTCATCGAACTTCACAGCTGATTTTATTGATCAGAATGTTCTGGAATGATTGATGTCTTCTTCTGGTGCCGCAGGTCTTCCACGCAGGACAGGCCTTCAGACTGGGGCGTTACCCCATCCACTGGCATCTGATGGGGAACATCGACTACAAGTCGTACGTGCGGGGCTGCGCCATCCATCAGACCTACAACAGAGCCGTGACCATCCACAACACCCACCGGCTGCTGGTGGAGCGCAACGTCATCTACGACATCATGGGCGGGGCCTTCTTCATCGAGGACGGCATCGAGACGGAGAACATCCTGCAGTACAACCTGGCCGTGTTCGTCAAGCAGAGCACCAGCCTCCTGAACGACGACGTCACGCCCGCCGCCTACTGGGTCACCAATCCCAACAACATCATCCGCCACAACGCCGCCGCGGGGGGCACCCACTTCGGCTTCTGGTACCGCATGCACGAGCACCCCGACGGCCCATCCTACGACCCGAACATCTGCCAGAAGCGCGTTCCCCTCGGCGAGTTCCACAACAACACGGTGCACTCTCAGGGCTGGTTCGGCCTCTGGATCTTTAAAGACTTCTTCCCCATGAAGAACGGAGGCTGCCGCTCCAGGAGCCCCCAGCCCGCCGTCTTCAATACCCTCACCACCTGGAACTGCGAGAAGGGCGCCGAGTGGGTCAACGTGGGCGCCGTCCAGTTCAACGGCTTCGTCATGGTCAACAACGAGAAGGCCGGCATCGAAGCCAAGCGCATCTTCCAGTGGGCGGTGTCCAGCTTCGGAGAGGAGGGAGGTGCGACGGTGTCCAACAGCACGATCGTGGGACACGTGGACGAGCTCGCGCTGGGAGACGACTACTGCACGCGCCTCGGTGTCATCACGCCGTTTGACGACGGCATGAGCGTCCTGAACACCAAGTTCCTCAACTTCGACCGCAGCTCCTGTGCGGCCATCGGGGTCACCACCATCGACGGCACATGCGGAGATCGCTGCGGCGGCTGGGCCGTCAGGTTCAGTGGCGTCCAGTACGTGAACTCCCCCAACAAGGCCAAGTTCAGGTGGGAGCACGAGGTGCAGCTGGTGGACACGGACGGCTCCCTCACAGGTACTCAGCCTCTTACTGCTCAGTTACTACTACTTCACATTACACATAACTTTCATATTAATATTCAGTCATTCAACATTTAATCTTCTCAAACTACTTCATTTATCTAATTTAAAAGATTTTATTATCAACAAATCCCATGAAAACCAACAATAAGAGAAGATGAACCTTTACTGACACAGCAGCACGAGGGAAACATGTAATAAGAAATAAAATAAGAATAGAAACAGAATCTAAAATAAATAAGATAAAACAGAAATACAATATAAAAATAAATAATGAATAATTAGTCAGAACTTCATCTGTGGCTCACTGCTCCAGTTCCATTTGTTCCTGCTGCTGATGTAAATCTGAGAAAAGGGTTCATAACCCTGAATTTAATTTAATTAGTTTGGGGCTAATTTCAGTGGCAGATTAATATCCTCTTAATCCTCATCTTCACGTCTCAGATGATGTTTAGTTGACTTCAGTGTTGTGATGCTGATCCCTGCTCCTTCAGTTGTTTTAATAAACTCCATCTTCACGTCTCTGATGATGCCGTTATAAAAAGAAAAGTGAATCATCATAAAACATCTTCAAGGTTCTTATCCTCCGTTCCTGTGTCTGACTAAACTCTCTGTTATTCTCTGTATGTTGGTTGTTTTCAGGAAAGGTCGACCACAAAGTCGTGCCCATGAGCCCCCTCCTGGACCCCGCCCACTGTTCCCAGAGTGCCGAGTGGAGCGTGGGTTTCCCCGGAGCCGTGTGCGACCACACGGTCGACTTCCATCGTCTGTCTTTCAACAATCCCTCACCGACCTCCCTGAAGGCCAAAGATGTCATCCTAACCAACTCACACGGTATCAGAACACTCACTGTATCTGTGACCTTTGGTGACCTCTGCTGGTGATCACTGGGAACTGCAGCAGATAAAGTTCAAGCTGGACACTGTGTGATATATATACATATATATATATTATAAATGCTAAATGCCTTTGAAGTAAAACATTAACAAATATATAGCAGTGGTTCTTAAAGTGGGGTCCGGGGACCCTCCGGGGTCCTTGAGCGGGTTCCTGGGGTCCCCAGAAAAGAGGGAATACTTAACTCTGAGTTTAATTCCATCCATAAATAACAATGACAGAATGTTGGTTTAAACACTGTAATGAAACATCTAAAAGCAAAGAAAAGTTTCAGGACCACTGTTCTGTATTTTCTTTATATCTTATATATTATACGAGACTGTGTCTTAGTTGAACATGTTGTTTTTACCCGTCACAGGCAGCAGCGTGGTTCCCTACCTGAAGAAGAGGATGACTCATAAGTTTGGCTGGATGGCCCTGCTGCCTTCTGGGAAAACGTACAACTGGTACTTTGACGATATGGATCACATCACCAACATCACTTACAGTGCAAAGTTCTACGGCTTCGAGGTGAAGAAACGTCCTACACATGATGCTGATATCAGGAAATAATATACCGATAATTCTCCCTCTTCACTCTGACGTTTCCTCACAGTCGGATCAATACGTGATCATCAACCACAACTTCACCCAGAGTCCAGACCGGTTCCAGGTCATCGATGAGAGGAACGGCTCCTCGACGGCGCTCAGCTTCAGCGGAAACGACAACGGGGACTGGTTCTTCGACGACGGCTCCAACAACCTCTACTACATCGGTGAGACGCGCCCTGATGTGGACCTGTTGATGGTTGTGATCATTTTGATAATCAATTAATCACTTTGATTAAACAAACATTCAGTGACTGCAGCTTCTCAAATGTGAGGATTTACTGTTGTTCTGGTACATTTCAGTTTTTGTGACATTTAATCAATAGTTTCAGCTGTTTAAAGAAACACTGACTCAGTTTGATTGATTTGATTTTATCTGTCGTTAAAATGAACATTAACACAGTGAAACCTTCTTAATTATTATAGTTTTGAATCTGAATCTGTTTCATAACAGAACAGTAACATTAGGATTTTCAGATTTTTGCTTATAGTTCATAGTTCATAGTTTATAATTTATAATTTATAGTTTATAATTTATAGTTCATAGTTCATGTCCGTCAGTCAGTAAAACATCTCCTCGCCGTTCTGTTCCCTCAGTCTCTGGGAAGACGGACGAGCGGCGGCGGCGGCGTAACAGCGTGGACCGCTCCATGCTCGATGTCCAGATAAACTTCAGGGTTTACCGCTGCTTCTTCCCCAACTGCATCCCGCCACCTCCCCCGCCTCCAGCCACACTCGCCCCCTTACCCAGCGGCCGGCCGGACAACTTCATGTACGTTTAACCTCCGCCGCATCATGAGCGGGAACAAACCGGTTCCAACTGACCAGATAAAGTCCGACGACACCGATGAGTTTCTTGCATTTATAATTTTTAACACTCACAGAAGCCTCCGTGTCACAGCTGCTCTCAGGACGTGAGACATCAGTAACAACAAAGTGATCAGTCATTTTTCTGGGGTTTCCAAATTGTGTAAAGTTTTTAGAGAGCTCGTACAAGAGTATTTTATTTATTATTTCCATTTCAATAGATACGAGTCAGATTTGACCTGAACAGCCTCAAAGCGAAAGTAATGAGCTGCTTTATAGAAGCGCTGTTGGTTTGTTGTGGTTTGGGTCGAGACAGTAGAAACAGGTTGAAGCTTGTTTAATGTGAAACTAGTCGTCATGTTGTCTCAGGTTTGGTCCGACATGTGTTTCTCTGTCTCCGTCCAGTCTCTGGTCCAACGCCTCCTTCTGGGAAAGTTCGGCTGAAAATAACTTCACTGCACCAGCAGAGGGCGCTGACGTGGTCGTCCCATCAGGTACGAGTCTTAGAGAAACTGATGCTGTGGTTTTTGCTCACGATCATGATTTTCTTCTCTGTGACGACGGACGTGATTTGATGATTAGATTGTAAAACAGTTCACATTGTGTTTGTTCATGGAGCCGGTGACTGATAAATTCAAATTCACATGTTGTGACCTCTGACCTCTGTGTCTCTGTCCAACCACAGGGAAGTGGGTCGTTCTGGACGGCGACACCCCCCCCCTCAACAAGCTGACGGTGATCGGCGTTCTGGAGATCCCCGACGCCGCGAACAGCTCGTCCACCAGGAAGAGCCGTTCTGCTCCAGAGTCCGACACTGTGGTGATCGACGCCGTTTACGTCTCCATCCAGGTCAGTGAGATCAATCACACTGGATATAACACGGCAGTAAGACTTATAACGATGTATGTGTTTATTTAGTTCATTAGATCCTCATTAGCCGCTGTGCTAAAACAATGGCTCCTCTTCCTGGGTCCCCTTAGAGTCATAATCAATACTTCAATAACAGATACATCAGTACACATCCATATCATTCATACTCACATTACGCAACACGACCAACTAACACATCAAAAAACTTTACACAATTCAATCCAACAAAGAAACGAAGAAGAAGAAGAAATAAATGGGATGAAAAAGCTCCTGTATCTATTTCA